CCGCCTGCTCCCAGGGCTTGGGCTTGGGCCTCAGCTGCGCCTCAGTGGGCGGGCGCGTCGGGTCCGGCGGCGAGTCGTCGATGTCGGTCCGCACGTTGGGCGGCGTCTCGCCACGGGCGACCATCTCCATCACGCTCATGAAGGCCTGGCTGTGAGGCGCGTCGTCGCGCCCGGCAGGCGCCGCGGCCGGCTGCGCCGGCGGCGCCGGGGGGCGCGGCGCGGGCTGCGCGGCGCTGTAGGAGGCCGCAACGCCGTTGGACGCCGCGGCGGAGTAGGCCGGCAGCGCGCCACGCCCGTAACCGCCGTAACCGCCGCCGCGCACGTAGCTCGCGCCGTCCGCGTCGCCGCCGCTGCCGCCGCCAGGTGTGCGAGAGTCGCCCGGCGCCGCGGCGGACGCGGACGCCGACCCCGACGGCGACGCCGGGCCGTAGCCGCCGCCAAACCGCTGCTGCTCCCTGTCGCGCGCGCCGTAGGGCGCCGCCTGGTGGCGGGGCCAGTCGAACGAGGTCTCCGGCGCGCCGCTGCGGCCGGGCTCATCAGCGGCGTCGACGCTGCGAGGGTCGTCGGCGTACGCGGACGGCTCCCCGCCAGCGCGGCCGTAGCGCGGCGCGCCGTAGCGCGGCGGGGGCGCGGGGCTGGAGGGGGTGCGGGGAGCAGGGACGCACGCGCGCGTGTTTGTGTGCGCCAGCAGGGGTGAAGCAGATGATACGGCCGGCCTCTGAACGGCACGCAGCGTGGGAGGTGGGGCGGGGCGCAACAACAAGCCCGCACAGCGATGGGATGCCCAGGACCTGCAGTTGTCCCTGAGCTGAGAGCGCCGCGCACCTGTAGCCATCCTCTGCACTGTATGATGGGTATCCGCCACCACCGCCGCCGCCGCCGCCGCCCCGCGCGCCGCCCTCGCGCCGCCAGCGCCCCGGCGACGCGTGCCCGCCCCCCGCGCCCTTCCCGCTCCCGCCGCCGCCCTCGAGCCCGCCGCCGCGCTCCTGCCGCCCGTCCGCGACCGCAGCAGACAGCCCCTCGACCGCGCGCGCCAGCTGCTTTTGAGAAGCTGCCATGCCCTCGAGGGCGGCTGCCAGGGCGGCGTCGCGCTCCGCGGCCTCCCTGCGCTCCCTGTCCCTGGACTCTGCCAGGGAGCGGTACCACGAGCCGACCAGGGGCGCAACATAGTGGGCGGCCGCGTAGGCGGCGCCGGTGACGATGCCTAGACCGAGGAGGACCTGTGGGGGGCGCAACGTGCGCACACGACGTGCACGCGTGTGTGGGTTGATGTGTTGGCATGTATGTGAATGCATACAGGCTGGTGCGCGCACATGAGGCCGTCGTCGTAATGCGAGTTGCAGTCGAGTCTGCACACTGGAGGGCCATATGGGATGCAGGGGCGCGAGTTGGTTGCAAACCCTGCAAGGCCGGCCGTACTTCAGATGCCCACTCCCAGGCGGCTCTCACCTGCGTCCAGCGCACCGGCTGCGGCTGCGGCGGGTGGGGCGGCGCCAGCGTGCCCGGCTGCATGGCCACGAGCTGGTGCGGCGGTGCTGCGCCATACTGCTGCTGCTGCTGGTAATGCGGTTGCGGCTGGCCCGGCGTGTACGTAACAAGGTTGTTGGCGCCATAGGTTGGGGTGGCCGCCGCGACTGGCGCGGGAGCGGCGGCAACGGCGGCAACAGCAGGCAGCGGCGCGCCGCTCTCCTGTTGGGGCGCGCGCTTGAACGCCTCGTCTATCTCTGCTGCAGTCAGGCCCTTGCGCTCCAGAAACGAGCGCTTTGTTGCAACCGGGCTCGCGCGGACCTGGCCGGCGTGACGGGGCACGGCGGCGGGCGAAGCAGGGCGTCAGTGGTGCTCCGCTGCAGGCATGTCCACCTCCGCAGCATGCACGGGCGCGGCCACCTCAGCGACCTCCGCGCACCGCCAACGCGCGCAACACAGAGTGACTGTAAAGCGCGCGAACACCGCGACCATATAATGCTGCATTATGTGCAATAGCTCGCTGCCTGCCGTGTGCGAGGTGATCTGCGCACTTTCTCGTGGCTCAAGAAGGCGACGGCAGAGGCGATTTGATCCTCACGCAAGGCTACGGGGGCTGCAGTCGGTGCCTCAGCGGCGGTGTCGGCCCCTGCAAGGGTCGAGACCGCGGCATGGGCCGCAGCGTCGTCAGAGGCCATGGTTTGCGCTGCCTGGATGCATGAAACGGAAGCCTAGACATATGGCTCAAGGTTCTGCGGCTTGTGCTGGTGATGCACGCCAGTGCTGCTGGCGCACGCGCAGACGCCTGCCCAGCACGCCCAGCACACCTCCTGAAGTGGGCAATCCCACGAAGACCGGCCCTGGTCATGGCCGCAGCACAACACCAAGAAATGCCTGATCTTCGCTTTTGCTGGAACATGGCCCTCCTATTCCACGCCGCTTTCTGGCATCCCTGTGGCTTGCCCTGCGCTCAGCGCCGCCATACTAAACCCCCCCCCCTTGCATCCGTACGACTCCAGCCCCACCAAAGGCCGTCCACGAACATGTAGGCATTCCAAGGGTTACCGCGCCCCCTCCGCATTTGCCCGTACTTTGCGGGCGACGGCCTCAACCCACGAAAGCGCGCGTAGCGTCGCGCGCCCCGCGCCCGCGTTTACGACCAGCTTGCTCCCGCCGCCATGCGTGATTCCGCCGCTCGCGTCCATCCCCCGAGACAGCCTGCTCGCGTTCCAAACGGCCCCAGGAACGCCGCCACCGCCGCCGTTGGGGTCGCCTGCCACCTGCGCCTGCACCGCCACCTCCGTGCTAAAACCCAAGCTGCCGGCTCGCCGCGCGCTCGCCACGTGCGCAGAGGCCGCCGCGTGCGCCTCTGCGGGGGCAGCGCCCGCGAACGCCGCCGCCGCCGCGGCCGCGCCGCTGCCACCTCCGCCGCCGATCGTCCCGACACAGGATGAAGGCCCCAACTCTCCTGAGACCTGGGGTGATGCGTGCATGGGCCCATGGCATGCGGTCAGCGCGAGAGCGAGCACCATGCACCGGCCAGCGGCACAGCCCAATGGCGGGCAGAGCGCGCTGAAGATTTGCGCCTCCCCTCGAAGCCAATCGGGGCGTTCAAGAAACCTGAGCCATGCGACCAGCTGTTATCTGCCGTCTCTCACGCACCCTGAGCGCCGGGTCGATTGCAATGCCGCCGTCCGCCTGCACCTGCAGGCTGGCCACGGCCGCCGCGGGGCTGATCAGGACCTGGGAGACACATGGGAAGGACCACTGATTTTTGAGGCGTTCATGACGTGCATGCCATCCCACGGGCTCGCATGCGTGCGGCGCAACTGCAGGCCAGCCTGTCAAGGAGCCAGCAGGTCAAGGAGCTGGACCACACACACTCCCTCTAATGTGGTGCAAATTGCCACATTAGAGTTAGTTTTAGGAACATATCGGGCGAGCTGGCTAGGGCCGATGCGCCTGCGCGCACCTCGATGTTGCCGCCCGCAGAGTCAATGAAGCAGCTGCCAAACCGCTCGTGAAGGTGGACCTGCATGGGGTGCGCCACGGCCACCAATTTTGGGGGCCCAACCGCCGCTCCGATGCGCCCCCAAAGCCTTCCAGCTGCAGCAGCCCGCACCAAACGACCCAGGCCACCCAGCTACGCGTATTCTTGATGTGGCTTAACACCAGCCCGTGAACGTCAACCCCGTGCCACCCAGTGACCTGCACGAGGCCGCCCCCAGACAACAGGCTGGCGTTGCCCTCCAGCCCTTCGATGTGAATGCCGCCGCCGGAGGTGTCGACGGCCACCAGCCCAGAGCACGACATGTGCGCCACCTTGAAACCGCCGCCGCCGGTGTGGAAGGATGCACGTTCGCCGTACGCCGCGCCCAGCTCAATGTCCCCACCGCTCACGGTCGCACTGTCGCCGCCGCTGCTGGTGCAGATGGCGCCGCTGTCGTTGCCAATGCTGCCGCTGCTGCTGCTGCCGCTGCTGCTGCTGCCGCTGGAAGTTGAGGCGTCACTGGAGCTTGCGCCAACGCTGGCGTAGACGCTCTCTGATCGCCGCCGCCGCCGGGCTCCACCAGGGTCGCTCCCGCCGCCCTCTGCCACGCTGCTCACCTCAATATCCAGCCCAAACAGACGCTTCAGCGCCACAGCGCCGCCCCCGCTGCGCACCACCGCGCGCGACGCCGAGAGCTCGCCGCCGCTCACCGCGCCGCCGCCCGAGTGCAGCGCCGCGTCGGTCGTGCGCGCGCGCTGCAGGGCAATCGCGCCGCCCGCGGAGCGCGCCTCGAGGGACGCCTCGTTCAGCTGGCCGACCAGCTCTATGGTGCCGCCGGCGGTGGACACGCGCAGGCCGCAGAACCGCGGGGGCAGCTGGACGCGCACGGCCGTGCTCGTCGGCTCGGTGGCGGCTGGTGGCAGCCAGCAGCCATGAGGGGGGGGGGTGGGACCGTGTCGGGAGGAGGGGGTTTGCCGCTCCTCTTAACAGCAGCGTGCTTGTGAATGGCCAGCGGCCATGAGAAGATGCCGATACACTGGCCATGAACACCTCGAAAACGCGCACCTATGATGGTGCCCTCCTGGCGAACGTCCAGCTGAGCCGAGCCGGCGACCACCACAGTGTCGGGCGGCCCATTGACGGCGTGCAGGCCAGCGCCCGGCTGCAAACAGGAGACACTCAAGATCGTCCCTGGCTGCAGCTCGAACGCGGCCGTCGTGCCACCATCTTGCTGGCTAGCGGCAGCAGCGGTGGACTGCAGCCCACGCAGCAGGGCGAGCAGCGGCGCCGCCACCAGTGGAGGGGCGCTGCAGCCGACTCCGCCGCTTATGCAGACCCCGGCAAGGGCCCTCTGGCACGCGTGTCTTGCGCTTCCGATCAGCATGTCGCTGAGCACACTGCCAGCCGTCACAGTGATGACAGGTCACCGCGGGTCGCAGATGGGTGATACTTGATCGGCGATCAGGTGATGCGGGGACTGGACGACTGCGTTATTACCAGACTGAAAACCAAATTCAAAGTACAAAGCAGCGCCACAATCGCGATCTTCAACACTTGCTTGCTGCTAGTGCCATTGATCAATTGTACAATCTACCTGAGCAACACACTCGGCCACAATGCGGCCTCTAGACTACTTGAAGGCCGCCACGTACAACTATGTGTCGGGGCCTTTGCTTCAGGTGCGCTGCGTGTGACGCCAGACGACGCGTGCACGCGTCGCACGAGTCCTGTGCGCTCATCAGCAAGTGCTCATGCGGGGTGCCGCGCCTGCGGCGCCGCAGAAAACGACAATGTGGGACCTGCCTTCGGCTGATGAGCTGGTGGGGGACGCATCCGGCTTGACGGCGATCGTCACGGGGCCGACAAGGTGGGGCTGGGTGGCCAGCTGCGCCCTCGGTTACGTCAGCGTGAGCTGCGGCGCTCAGGCCCCGCAGCGGGTGACTGGAGCTTGCTCGAGTTGCGGAGGCTGCCGGGGTGCCTGGTGACGCATGGTGTCGCCCTCTTTTGCCGTTGCTGTAGCCGGCGTCGCAGTGCGTTCGTGTGTGTGCGTTGCCTCTCCACTCACGCGTAGCTCCGCACTGGTAAACACACGTACGCACGCGTGCGCAGCGGCATCGGCGAGGCAACCACGGGGGTGCTGGCGAGGAACGGCGCACACGGTGCGGGCGCAAACGGCCGCGACGCGCCGGGGCTCGTGGCGCCCGCCTGTGCGGCTGCTGCTGCCCGTCCACCTGCCTCCCTCCGCCGGGCCTGTCCTACTCTCCCACCCTTTCGCCCCCCGTGGCCCCTACGACACCCTTCCACCCGCACTCCGACGCCACGTCAGTCGTCCTCGCCTGCCGCAGCCAATCAAAGGGCGACGCCCTTGCGGCGCGGCTAGCATCAGAGGCTCGCGCTGCGGGGCGGCCTGCGCCGTCTCTGGAAATCATGCTGCTAGACCTCAACAGCCTGGAGTCTGTGCGCGCGTTTGTGGCGGCCTGGGAGGCGCGCGGGCGGCCGCTGCACCTGCTCATCAACAACGCGGGGCTCTTCCACATGGGAGGTGGGCTCGCGGCCGCCTCCCTGGGCTCGCAGGGAACGCAAGGCGGGGTGCGACGGGACAAGGCGGCCGCACACGCTGGGGCGGGTTGGGGAGCGGCAAGCAGCGCAATACGACCGCGGCCGTCGCGGCCGGCGCGTGTCCTCCGTTCCTGAGGCGGGATGCTCTTCTCCGCCGACCCTCCACCTGAGCGACACCATGCAACCCCCCGCCTTCCAACAGCCGGCCGCTCCACGACCAAGGACGGCCTCGAGGCGCACATGGGCACCAACCACCTCGCCCACTTCCTGCTGACACTCGGCCTGCTCCCCGCGCTCCGCCGCGGCGCCGCGACCGACGCGGGGCTGCGGCGGCTGGGCGGGGCGCGCGTGGTGCACGTGGCGTCGTCGATGCTGATGTTTGGGCGGGGCCTGGCCTGCGACGACCCGACGATGGAGCTGCCCGGCAGCTACTCAGCTGAGGTGGCCTACGGCCGCAGCAAGCTAGCGCAGGTGGGCGGCTGCCGGCTTTTGTGGGCAGATGTGATTCATTGCGCACCACTCTCCTTTGCAGCGCATGCATTAAAAACTAACAAACCCAGGGCAGCCCTTTCCTCCATCCAAGCTCCAACTCTTGCACAATGGTTTTGTCCCTGCGTCTCACGGTCGCCTGCTCTGGGCCATTGGGCGGCAGGTGCTCTTTGCGCGCGAGCTGCGGCGGCGGTTGGCAGAGCAGGCCGGCGACGCCCAGGACCCCGCAGCTGCTGCACCCCCAAACAAGGCGGGCGGCGTCGAGGGCGCGCCGCGCGTGCAGGCCTACGCCGTCCACCCGGGCTACGTCCTCACAGACGTCGTGCGCAGCCTGCCGGCCGTGGTGCAGCGCGCGTACCGGCTGCTCATGGCGCGAATCCTGCTGACGCCAGAGCAGGGTGAGCCTTGCCAACGCCTGTCGTCGCGCTATCGCCTGAAGCCGCACTTCCGCCCGTCGCCGCCGCGCCGTGCGACGCACGTCTGGGGTGCCACTCGGCCGTCACGCCGCTGGCAGCGGCCTGATTTTTGGGGTCAGCCATGCGCGTATGTGGGGGAGGGTGCCGGCTGCCCGAATGGCAGCGCCGCGACTCGGCCTCTTCCTGTTGGTGCGGCGGGCCGTCACTCAGACCAGCCGCAACGCGTCGCCTCTATTTCGATCTCCTCAGGCAGCCGCGCGACGCTCAAGGCCGCCTGCTCCCCGACCGCCTGGCGCGACTCTCTGCCAACCGGCGGCTTCTTCAACTGTGACGCCAAGCCGGCGGTTCTGAGCGATACCGTGCTGGACGACAAGACGGCGGCCTGGCTATGGGATTGGTCGGCGCGGCAGGTGAAACTGCCTGCTGACTGGGACCTGCCGGCACGGCGGGGAGCTTCGTAAGCGTGGGGTGTTGGGCGGATGTGGTGATTGCTGTAGGCAACAGGCTGATGGGCGTCGCGGCTGTCTTGCTGTTGCGCCGGTGCCCTGGGTTTACAAGGGCTCAAGGCTAGCTGCGAGGGGATGGGGCTGAGACGGATGCTTTGCGAATGCGGGCGTGTCGTTGGGTATTTAGTGTTGAGCAGGGGGATTTGCTCTGGGCCTGTGCCCCAAGATCTTTCCGGCCATTTATAAGCAGGCTCCTCTTGAACAGCGCCTCTGTTCAAGAGGAGGAGTTCTATTCCGAGGCCATCGCTGTGTTTGTATTGGCGGATGTTGGGTCAGACCGCGGTCATCGGTGCTGTGCAACACAGGTCTTGAGCACTGCACCTGCAAAGCCACGGTGCATGAGGGTTGATGATGCAATCAACGTCTAATGATGTGCTTGGGTTTTTCGAAAGACTGTAAACATCACACGGCGCAGACCGCCACACAAGCTGGTGGGGCGGGTTCTTGCCAGTGTCACCGGATTACGCATACGTGAGCTGCCAGGCCAGTGCCACAAATAGCACCTATGCAGGGCTTGCAAAAACATTCAAGTGGGTCGGAGGCGGCACTGTCTTCATCACTGATGTGAAGGTCACAGACTGACAGACGGGATCTATCGCTGCTGCCCGCCGAGTGATGAGTGAGTGGTTGGTCCTTTGGGCTGACTGCCTCACAGCGCGCCTCGAGCTCACATGTCTTTGGAAGTGTATAAGACGCTACCTGGGTGTTTGCTAGCGTCCGCCGTGAGCTCCGCACAAAACTCGAACCACAGCGTCCCCTTGCCTCGTTGAAAGTCACCCGTCATCAACCCGTCGTTTTGCGACCGTGGCCTCACAATGATCACACCCATCCGCGCAGCTCAGCCTCGAGCCATGCTGGCGGAACGCCCGCAATCTGTGCGGCCTGCATGCCCGTCCCGCCGTCGGGGCGGAGTCCGCGCGTTGGCGGCGACGCGTGCAGTCGTGCTGGGCACTGGTGTAGGTGCGTTTGCGTCAGGGGTACTTGAGCTGCAAATCCACAGCAGGGCTGCAGCTGCCCACACACGTTCAATCTGGATCTGGGCACGCCCTGTCAAGAACACGCTCGGACCAAGGCCCCCTCTCCAATCCGCCCAGCCCTCCCTTGCACCTTGCACCCACGCACCCCCAGGCGGCCTCGTCGCCGCGCAGCGCCTGAGCAAGCACTTTGACGAGGTCGTCTGCCTGGAGAGGGACCCACTGGGCGGCGACAGGGACGCCAAGACGCTACCCACCAAGGTGAATGGCGCGGATCCAGACGAACATTTATGTAAATGTATGTCCACTGCACGCCCGCCGCCGCAATCGCATCCACTGTCTGATGCAGCACAGTGGTGCACCTCCTCGGAGGTTGACTGGGCTACCCTCAACCCCGCCCTACGCCACACCCCAGCGCCCCGGCGTGCCCCAGTTCAAGCACGCCCACGGCCTGCTGGGCCGCGGCGGGTCCATCCTGGACGACTCATTCGGCCCGGACTACCGCTCAGAGCTGCTGGCGGCGGGCGGCCGCCTGGTGGACTGGTGGGCAAACGGGACCCGCCGGCCTTTGCACGCGTTGGGACCCAATCCACTCTGCGTTCTGAGACGTGCCTGCGCCCAGGTGTCGTCGACGCTGGAGCGGGGACAGCTAAAGGTCGGTCGCAGCAGATGGCCTCGCCGCAGCCCCAGAGTGTCCGACACTTGAAACCCTCAGAGCCCCAAGTGCTGACCCCCCTCCGAGGCCCCCCTGGGCCCGGCCCTGACCCGGCCCTGGCGCCCTAACAGGATCGTTCCCTGCCCCGCGCCCTGCCATTCAACTCCCGCCCCCACGCCGGCGGCAGGCACTCTGACCTGGTCATTCACGCGCTGCCGGGGACCACCTTCATGCGAGACGCCCCCGGCTCCGCCCCGCCGCCCGGCCGGCCCCCGATGTACATGTACTCGGCAACGCGCGGCCTTATCGAGGGCACCGCCCGCAAGCTGCTGGAGCGCAATCCTAAGGTGACAGTGAGGTACGGGGCCCGCGCCGACGGCCTGGCCTTCTCGGCCGACAAGGACGACGGGGGCAGGCCGGCCGCGGTGGAGGGCGTGACGCTGGCTGGCGGCGGCGGCGTGGTGGGCGCTGACCTGGTGGTGGACTGCAGCGGCCGCAACAGCCGCGTGGCGGACTGGCTGGGGGCCGCGGGGTGGGAGGCGCCGCCTGTGAGCGTTGTGGACGCGGGCGTGGGCTACGTGTCCAGGTGGGGGGAAATGAGAGCGGGTGGGCGCGGGGTGGCTGACAGCCGCACTCTTGTTTGCACAGGGCTGCCTGCCTACACGATCAACGCGTCTGCACAGGCTCCTCGTGGCTTCCGGGGCTCGGCGCTGTGCCTTCAACCCTAAAACCACACTGCAAGGGCTGCCTCATCTTTCTAACAGTAAAAGTGATGCTTGCTTTGCAGTTCCCAGAGTTTCTAGGTCTCTCGCTCCATCCACAAGAATTACTCGGCTTTCCCGTTGCCCGCGATTCTTTTAGCACCTGCCTTCCGGGTTTGGAACCGCAGGCACGTCCGGCTGACGCTCGAGGCGCAGCGCCGCCTGGAGGGCATCGAGTTGATTGCCGGCCTCCCTCTGTACCCAAACCCCCAGGTTAGTGAGCCTGCGCAGTGTCCTGGACAGCCAGGCGTCGTCTTACAGCGTCCCCTGCGCGTGGGCTGGCGCCGGGACCGTGGGTGCAGGAATCCCATCGATCCCGCTCTAGGGACTCACATCCCTGAGTTTCTGAACGCCGTCTTGGGATGCTTCCTCTACTGGCAAGGGCGCACAGCCTGCTGTCATGCGCCTAGCAGCAAGGCCCTGGGATGTGACGCGCCGGCGACGCCCCTTTTCTGGCTCACGTGATTGACACCTCCACTGCCTGCGCAGTTTGCATTGATGCAGCGCATGGAGGGCGGCGAATTCATGGTAGCCATGGCAGGCTTCGCCCAGGACGAGGCGGCGGGGTCGCCCCCAATGGTGGATGATGTGGCGGCCATCAACGCCTGGGGCCAGGTGGGCGCCGGCCCGCACGCGGCTCACAGGGCTGCGCGGTGTGACATCTGCGTGCGTTCAGGCGGCCGCTGTCTGGACCTCCCTCTATCTGCCTTGCTGGACCGCAGCTGCGCGAGTCGCTGAGGCCTGGAGTGTGTGTGGCATACGCGGCTCGTTCGGAATCCAATGCGACCTGCTTTCAGGCGTCGCTTCCTTGGCCCCCGAGCGTCATCGCTCACAAACAATTGCCCAACGAACCATCCTGTGCCGCGCACCTGTCTTCACGCACCCCCCCCCCGCCTTGGCAGGGCGTGTGGTGGCCCGAGTTCAACGAGTTGCTGTGCGGGGCCACGGCGCTTGGGCCGCCCTCAAGGTTTTTCAATTTGAATAACGTCCACCGCAGGTCGGCGCGTGTGCTGGCCGTCTGTGCGCAGCTGCGCCGTGCTCTGCCGACCCCGCGCGCCGCCTTGAATTCCACCGACTGAAACGCAACCATGTTACCGCCGGCGGCCCGCAGGTTTTGCTGCTCGTCCTTTAGCCCCTGCATCCCCCTGCTTCCGCCCTTACCCGTGCCTTGTCAGGTACGACGCGGTGGCGCTGCCTGAGGGCCTGGCGCTGCTGGGGGACACCGTCTGCTCCTTCAACCCGGTGTACGGCCAGGTGGGGGGCGTGAGTGGTGCGCACGCGCAACCGCAATGGTTTGTGTTGCTTATACGTAACAAGCTTGTCTCATGATTTGTGTCGGAACTGTGCGCCGCCACGCGCGTCGCGCTGCCCCCCATGCATGTTTGGCGCGGCATCCACATTTCAACTTTTCCCCTCCTCGCCCCCCTCATCACAATGCCACATTGTCATCGCCTTGAACACACAAACCGACAAACTCGCGTGCACGCTCACCCACACAACAGGAACGTTGAGGATGCAGGACCCCAACCAGCTCAATCATTCCGACATTCCCCAACACCCCCGACCACCCCCACAACCCCACCTCCGCACCTCTCCCCCCCCAACACACACATGCACACATGCATGCAGGGCATGACGGTGGCGGCCATAGAGGCTGAGCTGCTGGACTCCATGATAGCAGCAAGGCTGGCTACAACTGCACGGCAGGGTGCAGCCGGCAGCAGCCCAAGGCAGCTGCTGGCCGGCCTGGGCAGCCAGCACGCACGAGAGTCGGCGGCTGTCATCGCCGACGCATGGTGTGTGAACGTGTGCTGGACGAGCTGTGTCTATCTTCCGCGAAGCTTGCAGTGGGCCTCTCAGCCGTGCGTCTTTAGCTGCTACCGCCTGGGTTTCATACACCAGCCAAATGTGCTGTTGGCCGTGCGACAGGCGCCCCACCAGCCCGAGCGGAATGTGTGCGTGCCCCCCTGATCTGGGGGCCAATTTTGCTGTGCACTGCAGCGGCGAGTCCTGCGACGCTGGTGTGCCGCCTGAAAAAATAAGCCCAGCCCACGCCTGGGCCGGCCCCTTCTCTGTGCGGCTCGCAGGGCCCTTGCCGCCGGCTTGGACAGCGTGCTGCCCTGGGCCAAGGGCGAGGGCGTCGGCAGCTGGGCAGTGCACGCGCGCGCGGCCTACATGACGGAGGTCCTGAGGCTCTGCGCCAGCGACGGCCAGGCAAGCGGGGCAGGAGCTCGTCGTGAGTGCTGCAGGGCGCAGCGGGGCGCTGCAATTTGCAGCCGCTCGCTGCAATGCGGGCCGCTTGGCGTGGTGGGGTGCCGCCCGGGACCAGGACCACGCCACTCTGTGTGCGAAGGCTGTGACGACGGGCGTCGCAGCGCTCTGCCTCTCTCACGTCTCCTACTGCCGCGGGCCCCGAGGCATCGGGATTCCAGGGCTGCGTTCACAGGAGCACGCTGCACGGTCGCGGGATGCCGCTGCCCGCAGGCGTTTGACCGTTTGACCACGATGCCGCTGCAATGTGCCGCCGCCCGCGCCGCAGGTGCACGGCGCCATGACGTCCGTATGGAACATGTACCAGCCGGGGTCGATCCTCACCTCGCCCACAATTGCCCTCAAGGCGCGACGCCCGCTCCCGCCTGTTGCAGCCCTGCGGCGCCCCTGCTACCGGCTTCTCGTCGGCCCCTCGACGCCTGGTTCGCTTGCAGCTCTCCTGCACACCCGCCTGAATGCGTGTGCGCCGTCGCAGCAAGCCTCATTATATTGACCTGGGCCGCTGTGCTGCACGCTTGGTTGATGCCTGCCTTCTTAGCAACCACCGCTCCGCTGTCCCGCTCGCATCCAGCAGGTGGCGGTGAGTTGGGCGTCCCGCGCCATGCGCAGCCTCGTGAAGGCGGGGCAGGCGACCGAGGCGCCCAGCGCGCCGGCTGCGACGAGCGCTGCTCGGAGGTGATGCGTGGCTGTCTGGAGCACGTCAGGGCACCGGCTAGGCAACCATCGTCGCTTTTCCAGGACACCTGCCGACTTGCTTTCGTCTGTTGTGTAGGTCGTGTCAGCTGGACTTGATTTCACTCTGCAGAGCTCTGAAAAAATTATGCCGCCTGCAAGTATCTGTTCTTAGGGACGTGATACCCACAAGATTGGCAATCACATTGACAGATGTGAAAGGCTTACTGCTCCAGGCGCACATGCCTAATCCAACCAAGTGCATCGCGACCACAGTTTCTGTTGCAAGCTGCAATGTTGCAATTCCTGCCATATTGCACCACAACTCCAGGCAGCACCGCTTGCAAAGTGTTTGCCTATGCGCACCGGCGGCTTGCAGAGGAACACTGGTACACACTCCTTTGCTGCTGTTCTTCAATACTCATCCTACTGATTGCTTGTCAAAGTAGTTAGGGTTCTAGGGTGCCCCTGAACCACACAGCAGGGTCATATGGGACTGCGTGAGTGGTGCAGCTGGCTTGCCGAGCCTTGCAATCCGCCCAGCCTTGCACTCCGACCCCACTGCCTGTGGCAAAGATGGGTGGCGTTCCCTATGTCACGAAAGGAGCGCCTTGCACACGACCGCTGACAAGCTCTTGCCGTTACTGCATCAATAGATCCTACAGTATGCGGTTTGCAGCTGCATCTTTTCAACGCCCAGGGCCTTGTCATGCGCCATTACAACCTTGAAACGTTGTGCTGTTGCTGCCTAACCGGATACCATAATTGCTTATCGCGGCCTCTTTTGCCGGCTTTGTGCACATCTGTCAGGTTGCTTAGCTCCTTTGTCAATCTAGTCAAGCAGTTGGCCTTGTGTCCACGTTTACACCAGTTTATTTGCAGGGTGGCGCTCTGTGCGCCCATGCAAAGATGTGCTCGGCTGGCGTTTAGCCGCGCGTGACTTGTAAAACGGGTTTGATCTCCTTTGCTGGCCACATCGCGGGCGCATCCGGCAGGCTCATGCGCGCGACCAGTCAGGCGTCGTCGGGGACAGGGCAGGATTTTCTTGAGCTTGGCAAGGTCATCAGGCTGCTTGCCATCATGCCATGCATAAGCGCACGTCCAGCAACGGGAAATCAAACTGAATTCCAGTTCAGTTGTCATCTGCATCCACTTGGATGCTTACATCACGATGATTTGTTGTCATCTGCATCCACATGGAAACACATCATCTTGAGGTAAGCATCCAAAGAGACAGCATATGAGTAAAGACTGCTTGAGGGCCAAACACGCATGCATGGCGGAGGGAGGATGGGCACAATGGCCCAACCCTAGCACTGCCCACATGGCTTTGTGCGTGGGGACGGAGGCGGCGCTCGATAGGGTACAATGAGTGACCAGCAGCGTGTTATTTGCGACAGTGTCCTTTTTGGACACATCGCCACTCAGCGGAATGGGGGGGAGCTGTTCAGCGGCTTTCACCGCCATGGGCAGACAGATGGTGCACCATCTGTCACGTGCCAACTTCCCTTTCAGAAGCAGGTGCACGACCCGGGCCGAGGGAGGGTCGGCAAAAACATCGCAACAGGTTATTGTGTTGTTGTGGATGCTTTTCCCATTTGCATCCACCTGAAGGATTCTCCTGTAATGTGCCAATTTCACTCCAGCCACCAACCCAGCAGCAGCCGGATGGTCCTGCAAGCTTGCAAACAATGGTCAACCAACAACAGCAATTCACGGTAGGTGGTTGATACGCAAGTGAACCTAAACCCTGATGAGTCATGGGCAGGCAGGATGTGTAGACATTGAAGCCGTGATGGTGCCATGATATCAGAAGGCTAATGCTGCCACAAAGAACCAGCAAGCCAGCTCACTTTGGAATGTCACGCCTACCACGCGGCGCCCAGCCCTGTGGGGGTCGGCTGCATGAGGACGCACCCCCACAGCACCCAGGGACACCCCTGACTCCTGAAGACACGGTGGCTTAGTGTGAGCTGACCGCCAACTAACCTTTCGCATGTGACTCTCGTGCACATCACACGCGCTCAGCAGCCGCGCCGCCTGCACGCCCAGCAGGCGCAGCGCCCAGCAGCTTGCGAGAGGATCGGAGTGCATCCACCTGGGCGCAGTTTGCAAGGTTTGGCGCGGTTGTAGTAGCATGCTTCCCACCGTAAATGCATGGTGCGTGGCTGCGGCCAGCAAGGGAGGCAGACGAGTTCAGTCCTGTGTTGTCTATGTGTTTTCTGGCCTGCTTGATCCAATCGGAAAGGCAAGGACGGGCTAGCTGGTAACAACCCAGCGCCGCCCTCCAGCCCAGCAGGCCAAGGAACAAGATTGCAAATGTGCTACACTCTCGTTGCTGATCCGCGCGCTGCCAATACCAATGCCCTTGCCCCATATGCCAGTGTGCACACACATGTGCACGTAGGCGATGCGAATGCTGATCCACGCACCCATCCGCAACTGCAGCACACGGCCTACGCACACGTGCACAGCGTGCACGTGCACGCACTAGCGCACATGCCGCACCCACGCTGCTGCGGGTCAACGTGTGTTCTTCACCTTTGACACGACCGAGGGGTCCATCAATGCAGCCGCCGGCTCGTACATGTGCCAGACCTTCGACATCGCCTGGTGCACCTGGGTGATTCCGCGGAGTGAGGAGCAACTGGCAAGAAGCCGCCGCTGGGAAAGCACAAGCATACAAAGCTGATACAATTTGTGCTGTCAAGGCTGTGTGCGCGAGCACATATTGCCCAACAAACACCACCTTCATGTGAGATAGCGCGCAGGGTAGCCAAGGTGGTTGCATGCACAGTCGCTCCGCGCTGCACGCGCATGCCAGAATCCACTGCACAATCGCCTCAAGCAACGAACGCGGGCCCCAGCCCACGCAGCCGGGTTGGCCTGCCTGGGGGTCGCGGCCGCACAGCTCCATAACGTCCTTCGTGAAGCCCATGCGCTCCTCAAACCCGGGGCCCCGCTCCTCAGTGCCCTTGGCCCACGGGTTGAGCAGGTCCATCCCGGCGGCCAAGCCCCTGCGCATGCGTCGTGCATGGCAAGCAGGGCTGCAGGTCACGCCCGCACGCAGTTGACACAAACACGGCCTGCATGCTATTGCCGAATTGCATTCAAGTGCATGGCTTCAATTTTTGACCACCTGCTCCTGCAGAGTTTGGCAGCCAGGCTCGCATGTGCCAACCCTTGCAACCCTGCATGATCCACCCTGGTTGCAATCAAAGCCCCTGAGGCCTGGGCCCCCTCACCATGCATCGGCAATGAGAGCCGCCGACTCTCGTGCGTGCTGGCTACCCAGGCCGGCCAGCAGCTGCCTGGGGCTGCCGCCGGCCACACCCTGCTCTGCGGTTGCCAGCCTTGCCGCTATCATGGAGTCCAGGAGCTCAGCCTCTATGGCCGCCACCGTCATGCCCTTGGTTTTGGGGGAAGGGAGAGGCGTCCCGGGGGTGGCCAGGGGTGCAATCAAACCAGGGATTGCAGGAAGAGCATGGGGAAAGGTGAGCTGACCAAAGCCGCGGTCAACGTGCGAGAAGGGGGCAGGCAGGGAAAGTGACAACTGCAAGCCCAGCTC